CCCCAAAACCCCAAAACCCCAAAACCCCAAAACCCCATATATAAATACCCAGTAGAACTATATCATTAAAAATGGAATCTGAAAATTACGCTTCACTTATTAATGAAGACAACGATAACGATAAGCTTAGCATTAACTCAGTTAATGAGTTTCTCACTCAAAAGAATATCCTTGTTGAAGATAAAGGGAGTGCTAAAAGGTAAGAAGAGCATAACTAATCTGAAATCTTAGGCCCAACAATAGGCTAAGTTTATTGAATAATTCGTAAAAGGCTTGCACTAGCTTATCTTTAACTTATCTTAATATCAACTTGTAAATAAGAATCAAGAAATTTAACAGCTTTCTCCAGCATCTGTCTTAACTTGCTCTCTATAGCAATGAAAGTGGTTATAAGTTCCTTAATAGCAAGGAAAAACTTTCTGTAGAGCTTGGAGAAGATTCAGAACAAGAAGAGAGTCTTTGTAGAAGTGATTTGATTGCAGATATGGCTGTCAAGCAACTTACAGTTCCTAAAGCAATCATGAATAGGTCTAAGTTGATAAATAGCCCTAAAAAGAAGACATCGAGATCTAAATCTACTTTCTATCATCAAGATGTAGCCAAGATGCTAGCTGTTCGCAAGATAATTACTGAAGCTGAAAAGAAGCTTGACTCTTGACAAATCCTCAAAATTATTCAGAAGAAATAAAGAGTAACTCCCCAATAACTGGCATGAGGATACTAATTCTATTCTTAGAACTTTTGGTTTTATGAAGCTTGACTATTAAAGCTTCTTAATATTAAAAGTCTCCAAGAATAGTTCCAATGACCAACGATCATAATCGGCTTGCCAAAAGGCATAACCTAATTGATATCTAGACTTTTAACCTTAAATTTTTGATGAATTTTCTGAAACTGAATTTTACGTTTACTTTCTATTAAATTACATAAATATTGATTTTTATGAATAAAATTTTTGGAACATTCATGAAGGGTAACTCTTTTAGCCTTTCTGAAAATTTCGGAAATAACCTAATCTCACAAGCCACTAAGGTATAACTTATAGTCCATGTGCTGAAAGATGGGTTTGGAGTTTGATGCCTCTATTAAATATTAAGATTACCTAACGCATCTAGGATAATAGATCATCAGTTTAGAAAAGTTCATGGTTTTAATATAATCACTCTTCCCACCAATACTTGCCCATTGGCAAAAGGAAAGACCAAAGCTAGGCTAATTTTGGGTAGGTTAAATGAGGTTGGAGAGTACCTTAGCAAGCATTGTCAACGATATGTGGATATATTTAGAATACTAAGATTTTTATGATTAATAGTTAGCATTTATCTAGAAGAAAAGAAGGTATAGATTAGTACTCTATTTCTCAGATGAGCTGAAAGACTTTAACAGATTTGAGATAAAGCTATTGAGCTTAAAATTAACATAAAATTGAGAAATATGCAGGGAAATCTTAAGTTAAGTTGTAATGTTAAAATAAGTTTTAATATTTTCATAAATTTTGTAGTAAACTAGCAATCAATTTAGAGTCCTTTGTTAACGATGTTACTATGAGAGGATTAAGTTGCTGTCAGCTTCATTCGAATGAAGGTTATTTATTTTAGAATTTCTAAAACCTAGTTGAAACATATCAACTCTCTTTGTTGGATAGACGATTATAGCTGATGACCAATAAAATAAAAGGCCAATACTTTAATTATTAGAGAGAACTTCAAATTTAATATTCATATAATTTTGATTATAGATACCCTAAAAATTAATTTCTTCTATCTTTTTGAGCAAAATTTTTTTCATTTATTTACACCTCTATTTCTCTCCAAATTAGCAAATAAAGTAAACCTACCTCCGAATATGAATGGCTATACCTCTAAAATTTGCAATAATATTTGAGCAGAGTAGATATTTCTGAATTTCTTAAGAAATTAGTAGAAAACACTCCAAATTAATTACTAGTCCTCTAACAAACAATGAAGCTTATTTTTTTTTGGAATAGTTAATACCAACCCTTACAAAATTCTGCTATTTCAATATAAAATCACCCACTTGGGGTTTTGGGGTTTTGGGGTTTTGGGGTTTTGGGGTTTTGGGGTTTTGGGG